CCTTGCGGCCAAAGGGAAGATAATGTAGTATTAAAAATGGCTACCCTCATCTTTATACCCTTTCCATTAACAGCCAAAGCCTATTCTTCCATCCTTTAACCATAGTTTGGATTTGTAACTTGTTTTGAACAACAGATGTGTCAAAAAGGATGTCATACAACTTCCAAGCAAAGTCTCAAGAGGCCTTGAAGCTTCTGCTTTCACTTTCTTACTCCCCTAAGATCCTCATATAAAGAAGACTAATGTAGCTTCTGTAAGGATGAATGACCAAGTAAAGAGAAAGAGGCTTAAGCAACAGCTAGTACAAACCACTAGTCTTGTGAGTGCCCCTTCTTGGACCACCTATCCTATTGAAGCTGCCAGATGGCTGCATTAGTTAAAGGTCACATTAGTGACCTCAAACAAGACCAGAAAAATCATTCAGCTGAGCCCAGCTCATGTTGGTGACTCACAGAAGTATGAGCAAATAAAATGAGGATTGTTTTTAGCTACAAAATTTAAGAGTGGTTTTATAATGCAGCAGTAGCTGATACATTATTAAATACAATGCAGAAATATTCAAGCACATGTGTGTACAGACAACAAATTAAAGTGAATAAAATGAAAATTTTCATTCAGTATATTGGAAATAAAACTGTTGACTATTTCCTCCTTCTGGAAAAATTATCTTCCCTTGGCTTTTTCTTTTTTTTAACTTGACTCTTTACAGGCTTTTTTTTTTTTTTTTTCTTTTTCCCCCCTCACTTTGATGGATACACCTTTCAGTCTTTATGGCAGGCCATTACTTCCTCTGGCCATATTGGAAATATTGGTGCTCCCCAGCCATGCACACGTCTCATTGTACTCTCCCTTTGGATGATCCCATTTGAAGTTATGCTGTTTTTGTTTTTGTTTTTGTGGCTGGCCAGTATGAGGATCCGAGCCCTTGGTGTTACAACACCACACACTAATGAACTGAGCCAATTGGCCAGCTCCATGCTGTTTATACACTAGATTGAGATTTCTGGCTCAGATTTTACTTTTTTTCCTAAGGCCCATAAACCCAGTGCCTACTGAACATTTTTTTAATGTATATCCTTAAAACATCTCAAATTCAAAATATCCAAAATGGAATTAATCATTTCTTTTTCCTTCTGTGCTCCCATATGTGGTTAATGGCACATTATTCACCCAATAATCTAAGCCAGAAGGTTGGTTAACTATACTGGCTACTCATTCTTCCTCACTCTTTGCATACAATTACTGATTTGGTTTGATTCCACCTCTGCTAATATATCCCAAATCTAAACAATTCTTTCCTCTCGTGCTGTAGTATCTCGATTCAGGCCACTGTCATTCTTGCGTGGACTACTGTTACAGCCCTACACTGGTTCCTCCTTGGTTGTCATTTTCTCCTCCCACGTATCCTCCATAAAACAGGCCATGTGTCTTTTCTTTCTAAATATATTATTGCCAGTAATTGTTTAAAACCCTCCTCCAAAACTCTCTTGCCACAATGGTCAATTCACATTCCTTGGTATGACATAAAATATCTTTTACAGAACAATACTTATTCTTAAGCTTTATGTCCCCTCATGTACTCTGCTCTAGCTATGATTAACTCTCTTACCTCTGGGCCTTAATTCATGCAATTCCTCTCTTATCTCTGTTTAATCCTCACTTCTTACAAAACCAGCTTTGCATTCCAGAGTCTCTAGGATAACTGTCCTCCCATAAAATTTCATGACATTTGACTGACCACTGCTGTGGCAATTAGCACATGGTACTGTAATTGTTGGTGTGTCTCTCTTCCAACAAAACTGTAAGATCTCAGAAGTCAGAGTCTACATAATTCACCACTAGTCACAGAAAGTACCAGAACTTGGCACATTATAGGCATCAAATAAAATATTTTAAATTAATATATTCAGGAATAATTTCTTAAATTATGTAAAATTTTGCATGAGGTTGATTTTTAAAATATCGATAGGATGAACTTGTTGCTAAAATTCTTAAACTTGGCATATTGCTTAATAAATATTACCTACCTTTTCAAGATGATTTTGAATTTTAAATAGGATAATTTTAAGAAACCCTAAATTGAGTATAAATATAATAATAATGAGTAGTATTACAGACAAAAGTAGGTCTCAGTTACGGGAAATAGTATTCAGTGTTAACACACCACGTCTACAAATATTTTGAAGTACAAAAGGTGATTCCTAACATAAAGTTAGTTTTTTATTATTTTTAGAGTAGAAAATGGAAGGCTTATGAATACTTTCTTTGTCTCAAAAATAGCATTTAAATATTTAACATATTTGGTAATAATTTCCAATAGAAATATAGAGTTAAAAAAAATGGGGTCAATGGAAATGTTAGACATATCAAACAGGAGTTTGTGGGCAATGTGGTTTAGACCTATAAGTAAATGAAGTGTTTCATTTCCCCTATAATGTGATAATTTGTTAAACTATGTCTAACTTGACATTTTCAGTCCCCCTTCATGTTTGTTTTTCTTTGCTCTTCTGAAAAAAACAGAAATAACAATTGCATGGGATATTGTGGTTAGTTGGATATAGTTGATTAGAGATTTTAATCAAAGCTTCTAAACTCCACAAATATTTACCACAATAAGTTAAATTCTAAGCTTAATTATAATCAGATATTTTATTAAAAATAACAATTTAAAGTGACTTTGAGGGAATTCTAAAACGTGTCCAAATATTTCAGATACTCAATTATGAATGTAAAACTTCAAATTTTTCTCTGGTATTGTAGGCTTTCCCTATGTTAACCATTTAAATATTCTGAATAAATATTATTTGAATACTAGGTACCTGAAATTTTGCCTATCCACATCAGGTCAAAAACTGATTAAAATATTTTTTTCCTTATTTCTTTATCACTTATTTCTACAAAAATATTGCTAGGGTAATGTTTTGATGTATTGACCTAAAATTTTTCTCCATACCAAATTCCACTTTCTAAAAATTTGGATAACTTGTTTTTATCTTTATAAAAATGAATCATTTTTTATTACACTTAAAAAGGATCAAACCAAGAATATTAATTAATTATTACTCACTTGTTGAAGATGTTTAAATTTTGGGATAATTATTTCACACTTCATTGAAAAGCCTCTTAACCAATTTCCTCCTGACTCTTTTGTGACGCTCCTATTTCAAATGGCTTCTTAGAACTATCATATAAATCAGTAGGATTTTGCATTATTCAGGACTCTTGAGTTGCCAGTTTCTAAAATCAAGGGAGGACATTTTTCTGATTATTAATTAGTTTAGAATCTGTTAATATGCTCACTGAATGTTAATTCTCCTCACTGCAAAATACCTGTTTATCTTCTGTCTGTTTTCTTTGTTGTTGTTTTTTTTTCATTTTGAAGGGCACATTAAATAACATTTTTTGACTTTTTTAATTGAAAATTGATTATATATATTTGTGAGGTGCAGAATATCAGTGCACATGTACAATATGTGGTAATCAAATCAGGATAATTAATATACTCATATTTACAAAATGTAACCAATCTTTGTGACCTTTAATGATTTCTCACTAACCCCCTGCACCTCCCCCTTTCCCACTTCTAATAACCACAGTTATGTACTCTCTTTTTTTTTTCTTGAAAGTCCAATGTATTATTGTGATTCTTTCTTTTTCTTTCTTTCTTCCTTTTCTTTTCTTTTCTTTTTTTTTTCTTTTTCTTTCTTCATTTTAGCTCCCACTTGTGAGGGAGGACATGCGGTATTTCTATTTCTGTGCCTGGCTTATTTCTTTTGTCCATTTTTTCTTTTGGGTTTATTCGTATTTTCTTATTGACTTGGAGGAACAACTTATTGCATTTAGTAAGATGTATGTGTTGTGAACATTTCTGAAAGAAAGTGAGCCAAAATGCCAGGTACCAATCAAGCTTTATTAAAGGAAAAGAATCTGCCAGGCTGCACTCAGAGTGGAGGGCAGCACTAGGTGTCGGGGTGAGAGAGCTTATAAAGGGTGCCAAGGGCTGGCTCATACAATCAAGGAGGGGCATTATGCTAATGCAGAAGCTATGCGACCAGGGTGGAAAACTGCACCTTTGTGGAAGAAAAAGAATTTCTGTTTCTCAGAAATCATGAGGTTTCTCATAAAGGGAAGGGGAGAGGGGTTGGGGCCATTTTGTGCTTGGCCTTGCCTCAAATGGCACCGGTTATGTTCAGAACCTATCAATTTCCTCTCTGTTTATGACTTTTCTTTTTACTTTATTTATATTTTTTAGTAAAAAGATTTTTAATTGTAATGTGCTTAAGTTTATCATTTCTAATTAAGAAATTATTTACTTTAAGTGCTTTGTGTCTTGTTTAAGAAATTTGATAGAATATGGGAACTGAAGAGAAGTAATCATGTATGCCAAATCTACCATTTTTAAGTAGAAGTAATCCATGAAACCCATAACATTCTAACTTCGTGTTTTTGGTATTTTATGTCTCTGATAGCCCAATGTACTACTAGGATATATCTGTAGAATATGACTCGTGCCAAAGAGTTTATAGTCTAAAAGAGACATATTATGGAAAACTAAATATTTCTGAACTTGCATATAATTTTGTGTTTACTAATCGTTGGTAATATATTAAAATTCAATGGATGTCATGTACTTATTGTGTGTAAATTCTCTTGGGAATAAGTAGCATTTGAACTGGCCTTTGATAAAGGGGTAGGGTTTAGAAACACAGAAATAAAAAGTGAGAACAATTAGGTGGAAGTAATAATAAAAAAATAGGAATAGGTAGGAGAAATATGTACCTGTTTGGGAANGAAATAAAAAGTGAGAACAATTAGGTGGAAGTAATAATAAAAAAATAGGAATAGGTAGGAGAGTATAACAGAGTATAATTTGACAAAATTATAGTGGGGTATGTGAAGTAGAGAATTGACAGTTTTATCAGTGAGTTTAAGTGAAGTTTACCAATTATTTTTTTAGATATTTATAATTTGATTTTTACTGAGATCTTTTATTTTGACAGTTTGAAACTTCTTTTGAAGAATGGTAAGAAACTTTCTTGCTTCTTTTATTGTTTTTTTTTTTAATGTTGAAATTTTGATAATCTACTGTAGACCAGTTTTACCTCCAAAGGAACAATAAATTGAAAGTAGGATTTTTCACATTACATATTAAAATGTATTTCTAAAAATATAAGAATTAGGGGATGGCCGGTTAGCTCAGTTGGTTAGAACATAGTGTTAACACCGAGATCAAGAGTTTAGATCTTTTTACCAGCCAGCCACCAAAAAAAACCCCAAAAACAACAACAACAACAACAAAAAAAAAAAAAAAAAAAAAAAAAAAAAAAAAAAAAAAAAGAAAGAAAAGGTTAGAAACATAGGAATAAGGACATGACTTAAAATGGCAGAATAGGGATATTCAGGCCCCCTCCTTCCACAAAAATAACTATAAAGTTTGCAAAAAGGTCAGAATAAACCACGGCAGAAATCTGGAATCTAGTCAAAAATTGATAACAACCAGGGGAAAACTTAATAAAGAGGCTGCTGCATTGCATTAAGAGAGCACTGTGGTATTATAAATTCCCCACTCACCATTCTCCAACCCTCAGCTTAGTGGTAGCTGTGAAAAGAGTAGCCCACCCTTGTGGTGCAAAAGGGAACAATGGGGAACTTATTCTCAGAGAATTGTATTTGAGTGTTTTGACCTGTCTGACAGCTTTCCAAAGGATTAGCACAAAGTTTTACCTTTGTTTTGCTTGACTTGGAGTGATCCCAGGGCTGGGGTGGCTTCTAGGCAGAGTTTGCCAATAGCATTCAAAGGCATATACTTGCCACATACAGCAGCCTGAGGCTATGGATAATAGCTGGGACAAGCATTAGATAGATCAAAATGCCTGGGAAATAAAAGACTGGTAAAAGAGATACATGGGGGAATAGTGTTTTTTTTAAGCCCTTAATATACTAGGGAATTGAGAAGGACACAGATATGGTGAGGGTTGAAAATATCCTGAGAAAAGACCTGAGAAGTGTCTGATCTTTTATCTCTGGCTGACCTTTAGGATCAGCACAGGAAGGAACAGAAGACACGGGCAGGGTTGTAAATAGCCTGGAAAAGCATTGAACACAGGGCCAATCTGCTAGGATTGCAGAAGCCTGTTTTTGTTTGGTTTGGTTTTGTTTTTGTTTTTTTCATTGTTCTTTTTTTTTGGCTCCAGGCATTTAAGATAACTCACACAAAAGTCTAGCTCACCAGTAAGCTAAGGAAACACAGATGTCAATGGCCACGCATGACAAAGAATACATTGCAAAAAGTGTTTAGAAGAGTCACTAAATAAACAAACAACAAC